TTTACGACATCTTAAATACTCGATCCTTCCATTCACGATTTTTCTGAACTATATGGTTAACTAATGGCAACATTTTTATGAAATATTTTTCAACATGACTATAATTATTTCATTATTTAGACTTGCATAAAGGAAAGTATGTCCAAATCCAAATTTAATTTGCAAATTCAATGTTTTACTTGATGTTTTTAATAATTCTGAATAGTTCTGCACAAAAATTGGTTAATGCATATGTATCTGTATATTTATGTTTATGTGTGATATTTAAATTTTTTATAATATAAATATTTTTATCGAAAATTATCAAAAACCCAGTGTTTTTTTGAGTCTTACTAAACTTACATATAAATACAAATACAAAGAAATAATATATAAAAAGATAAGATTATTCATAAATGTTTAATGTTTATATAATTGTTTCAAGATTTTTATAAACATTGATATATAATTTACATTATAGCTAAGTTTAATTAAGGCCTGTTGTAGTAGTATATTCATGATTCAGCATAACATTAGTTTTTAGTTGAAATATTTGGTCAAAAATACATTTATTCATATTTATTTCATATTACAATATTTTTTCTATTCAGTATTATACAAATCAAATCAAATAATATAAAAAATAAAAATAAAAAAAACTATTAATTTTTAGTTATGTTAATTTCGATCAATTATCAATTAACATGATTTAAGTGCAGGGCACAAAAGTCCAATTTGACTTTGAGTAATTAGATTGTGAATACAAAACCAATTATATCACATCAAATAACACATATTAAACTAACATAACAACTAACTATGATTAACTAAATGACTATGTTCAGTAAAACTCTCCGATACTTCATCATTGTAGAAATGTTTTTTCCCCGTTTTTCAAAAATTTGTCAACTTTTTCTTTTATTAGAAATTTGATGATATGACCATTTATCTCCTGATTGCGATGTCGCCCGATTTAAGGCAATGACTGTTTTCACATGATTTTACCTCTATTTTGAAATTTCAAAATAGTATCGTGGTGGACCTTTTCACCGGAGGACCATCAAGCCCCGCTCTGTTCTACACATAGTACAATATTAGTTGTTAGTTAAGATATTTTGTATATTAATACAAAATATTTCGTTGATTATTACTTTGCAATAATTTATAATGTAAAAGACGTTTGTACGTTGAGTTCAAAGAATTTCTAAAATTTAAAGGGACTCCGTTGTTGGATTACGTCCTTTGTGAATATCTAATTGTAAGCTGCTGTAATACTTACATAAACTATGCATTGGTACAAAATTATACACACACATAGATATATACAAATATATATATATATATATATACATATATATATATATATGTATATATGTATATATGTATATACTGGGTGTATAATATAAACTAATTCAGTATGTTCCGCTCGCACGCCTCGGCATAGTCGACGTAGTGTTTACATACAAGTAGTGTTCAAACGACGCGAGTTCGTCGTACTAAGTTCTGTGTTACAAATTTATCTAATACATTACAATTAAACACATTGATTTTAATTGTGATTAAACGTATTGACTTTGATTGTGTACCAAAGTACTTTCTGTGAAACCGTGCAAAAACTCCACATGCGCTATGTTATCCGTGATGTTTTATCAGATTTGTACGAATGCGGAACCTACTTCAGTGTACAAGTTAGACTTGCAATTGTCAGTTGTTATTAATAAGTTTTTTTTATTTAAGTATATAATAAACATAGAGTAGAACGGGGCACAAAAGTCCAGTTTCACTACTTACTAGTAATTATACTGTGAAAACCAAACCAACTATTTCACAACACTTAACACATTACAAAGAAACAACTGTCAAACTATGTTCAGTACAGTTCTCAATTAATTCATCATTATGGTAATGCTTTTCGATATTTTTCGCAAAATTGTCTCACTATAACTCAAAAATGTTTTTTAACAACAATATTTGAAAGTAGAGGGATAAAGATGTATAACCAGCCATCACCTTGATTATTACGCTGTTGCTATCGAGAGAAAAACAATGTTTGAAAATCCACCACAAAAGTATTTTCTTCTGTTGTTAGTTTTTTTTTGGTTGTGAGCACTGTTGTTTAGTTTACGAGACCTTAATATGATTCTTATGTCTACGTCATTTACATGTTTTATAAGATGCATTGTTAACTTCCCGTAGGGTAAGTTATAGTAATCGCAAAAAAATCGAAAATGAAAATTTTTATATATCTTTACGTTTCAGAGGCTTCTGAACATTTTGGCATACCTTAGAAAAAATGGATGTATGTGTGTGTGTGTGTGTATGTGTGTGTGCATGTATGTATGTATGTACGTGTGTGTATGTATGTGCGGATACAAATTTTCGTCGACGATTTCGGGAACACGGATCAACCGATCTGAATAATTCAAAAATCATTCGATTTGTATTGATAAGGAGACGTGCTGATTAGTTTTTGGCAAAAGCAGGTCTAGCCGTTCCGAAGATACGGGGCAAAAAGTGCCGAAAACGGTAACTCAGTTTTTGAGAGAACGGAGCGTCCGATTTGAATAATTCAAAAAACATTTCACTTGTATTGACAAGATGAAGAATCGATAAAATTTTCATGAAGGTAGGTCTAGCGGTTTCGGAGATATGGAGGAAAAAGTAAAAAAATGAGCCATTTGGCGGTCAAAAATGATCATTAGACATATGTTCATCAAATTATCAGATATTTTATAGAGATTTTAACAATAAGTGTAAGTTTTGTTAACATTCCTATGGGTTCCGTACCAATGCTTATGCGTTAGACAGCGACGCGGCGCTAACGCGCTTTTTATTTTGTCCCTATGCAGTTAAAGCAGTACGATTGCTTTGAAAAGAAAGTTCAGATCTTCCACAATATGTCAAAACAAAAAAAAAATTTTTTTTCAAAAAAAAACAAAAAAAAAATTAAAAAAATTTTTTCAAAAAAAAAAATTTTTTTCAAAAAAAAGTAATTTTTTGTCCAATTTATAGTTTCTCAAAAATCTGATTTTTTCAAAGTAATTTTTTTTTTCAATAATGTCAATCGTTTTTAAAAAAATTATAATTTTTGGTACGGGAAGTTCCAGCAATTTGCCTTAAGGCACGATGCCTTAATTGCCTTAAGACAGAATTCCACTTACAGCTAGTTATTTTTAAGTTAGATTCCATTTTTCAAACTCTACTCTCTATTATCTATTCTCTATTTAACTCTATAAAAGCATACATGTGGGTGGAGTAAAAAGAGCTATCTAAACCTTTACCCTGTAAACAATAAAAAAATAGTTAATAAAAAATACATTAGAATTAAAAAGCAATTTTACAAGAGATAAGTTAAATAGTTTTGCTAGCTTTGCTGAGAATTATTTCTGGCGAAACAACAGATCAAGGTTATTTAAGGTGATATCTTTGCACAAAAAGTACCCATACAGTCTATATTGATTGAATAATGTAGCTATTATTTCATAAAATCCCTTTACAATTAAAAATACGACATTGGACCTGTTTGCTGTTCTATTTTACCCCACTTACGGAGTAAAAAGGATCAGGCTACAAAATGTTGAAAAACAGCAACAAAATCACATTTCTTACAAAGCATTTTACAGAACATAGTCAAATAGTTGTTCAAATACATATTTCATAGACACATTTTTTACAATGATCACATTGGGTATAACTTCGACTGGAACTTTGTCAGAAGAATTCATCGTCAGATTTAATATAACTATTAGATTAATGTATCTTTTGTTAAATTTTTTTTAACCTATTTTAATTTTTTATTTCCTGTTTTTTATTGTTTACACCTCCCAAGTGTGAAGGTTCAGTTGGCCATTTTTACCCCAACCAAATGTCAGTTATTCTGGAGCTTGTATAACAAAACTGTTAAATCTAACTTAAAAATAACAATACACCTTATAAAACAATTAGAGACCAAAAAACTAACAACGCTAAACAATACTTTTGTTAAGGAAATGACAATGTAGCCGCTTATCTCGACGTCGCCCGATTTAAGGCATGGCGGGTTACACCTCTTGTGCCCTCTACTTTCAAATAGTATCGTTAAAAAATAATAATACCACACTTTGTTTCCGAATTGATTATAGTGGATCTTCTTACTCATGCTTGTTTCAGCTGATCTCTACTCTGCTGTTCGAAATGTGTTTTTTAATTTGATACTATTTATTGCAAGTGATGCAAATCTAGAATATAGTTTTAGCATATTTTGTCATGCTTAAAATCTTGTTATTCTGCATCAATGTAAATTTAATGTGATCCATTAGTATGTGATCATTAATAACGTTTCACCTTCATTTTAAAATAGTATCGGTGAAAATTCCATGCTTTACTTGTTAACTTCCGGTATGTTATAGAATTGGAAAAAAATCGAAAATGAAAATTTTTATATATATATATATATTCACGTTTTAGGTTCTTGAACATTCTTTAAAACCTTTAAAAACTGGATGTATGTTTGTGTGTGCGGATATCATTTTTCGTCGACGATTTCGAGAACACTGATTAACCGATTCCTACTGATACGGAGGCGTGTTGATTAGTTTTTAGCAGAGGCAGTTCCTGTCGTTTCGAAAATACGGGGCTTACGCGCTTGGGTATCTAAAACAGCTATGCAGCGCGATTGCTTAAAAAAATTTTAATTTTTTCAGAACATTGAAAAATAAAATTTTCCAAAAATTCTCAAAAATCTATTTTTTTTAAGTTTTGAAAAAAAAATTAAAGCTTTTTGAAAAAATTAGTTTTCTATACGGAAAGTTCCAGTAATTTGCCTTAAGGCACGCCGCACGATGCCCACGGAACTTTCAACTCCATTCTATCCTCCCGTCAAACATGTTTTTCCATGTGATATAATTTATTGTTGGTGATGCAACTCTAGAATGTAGTTTCCGCATATTTTTATCATGTTTAAAATGTTATATCAATGTAAATTTAATGTGGTCCATTAGTATGTGATCATTAAAAACGTTTCACCTCTATTTTCGTTCTAGTTTGGCGATAACGCAAAACGGCGAAGCTGGCAGTAACGAACCGACTCGGAGGGCTTACGACCCGGCTACATCCGCTCTATTCAACTGTGATAATGAACCCATGTGAGTATATGATTTGATTATCTTTATGTGCGATTATTGTCAATGTCATTGTTTATCGTAGCACTAAACCTATTAATACATACCTGGTCCCGTTCTCGATCGGAATGACCCTTTTTTAATAAAATATTTTGATCGTAGAGATATATGATAGGATCATGTTGCTCCTAGAGATGTCTTTAGTGAACGGTGTAATATATAGATATTAAGGGGCTGATTCTACAATAAAATATACTAATGTTACGGCAAAGCTATGCAATGTAGCAGTTTTCATATAAAGTGGTACTAAAAACTGTAAAATCCTATTCGTGTTGCTGTGCGGTCAGGCGTTTTAGATAGAAAACTTAACCTAGAAAACGCATAAATGTCAAAAAACGTTATTATAACTGCATCCTTGAGGCATGACTTGATAACATATGAGTGAAGTTTACATTTTATGTGTAAAACGTCTGATATGGCATTTAACAATATTCAGTAGCATTTTGTTTAAAAACTAGAACATAACATAGCCTTGCCATAAAATTGGTCTATTTTACGCAGAATCGGACCATAAGATTATATTTGATAAAGTAATTATTTAATGCTATGCACTGTTATTATTAGTAATATTGAAACATATTTTTGGGCAATAACACGTTGATGATTCTGATAATAAATTTGAATTAATTAATGAATATATGAATTAGGTTGGAAGCTAAGTAAGTTTTCAGCTTATATAATTTTAATTGAGTTTTTTTATTTGCTGACATAGTCCAAATGCAAAGTACCTTTTGTTAATGAGAAGTAGGCAGTTGGCATTAATTGAAAGACAAAAAATCACATCGATTTTTAAGTCATATTTTGCTTTTTTATATCTGCAAAAGGTAAAGAGGCATCTTGAATTTACGAAAAGTTATGAGCGGTTCATACTAACGAAGCCTTGTTTTTTACACCAAGATGAAATACGAAGTTGATTAAAAAGGAATTTTCTACTTTGAACTGTTATTACCAACTGAATGATCAATTTTTTTGATGTCTACATTGTACAATTAACTAAATTCAACAATGAAGTTGAAAAAGCGGCTTGAATTGACAAATCTATACGGAGATTTATTCTATTAGTGACATCACATTATTTGAGCCACTCGAGCAAAAATATTCTAGTTTGGCTGGGATGTTTTGGCATATTCAGCATATAGTCTTGACATCTATGGTCCTGACCTTGCACCTTTTAATTACATTTTGTTTCGATCTTTACAAAACTCTTCAGAAGTTAAAAAATTAAATGTTTATGATGGTGTCAAATTGCACTGATTTAGTTTTTTGCTGATAAAAACCATAAGTTTTATGAAAGATAATGATGCTGCTTGAAAAATGAGAAAAAGGTATTGAACAAAACGGACAATACATTAGAAAATAATGGTATTTAGCTCCATGAAAAAAAATTTTTTGATTCGCCAACCAAATAGTACAAAATATATGACCAAAAATAAAAGAAAATATGAAGTAAATATGAAGCAATTTTGTAAAAGAGCATCATCCGCCTTTTATGTTACATGTAAAAAAGATGTACTTAAATCATGATTACTTATATTTCTGATAAATTTAATTTGGCACTATTTTATCACGCTTTTATATAAGAATATAGTTCGTACTAGATACTTTAAATCATTTGCTAAAGCGTAAAAAAATCAAACTATATCATCTTGTTAAAAAAATGTTAGTCATGTCGAATATGCCTTTTGAATAAAACTATTGAAAGAAGCAAAACTTCGTGGTTCAAATCATACATATGGAATTTAAGTTACGTCAAATTCTAGTTTTGATGATGAGTTTAACTTAGCATGAATATAAAACAATTGCCATTAATTTCTAATTAAAATAATACATAATATACACAGAGAAACATTATAGTTTCTTTGTAATACATAATTACAGAGAAACTTTGCAGTAAATCTTACCCTAATGTTATTACAATATAATAAATTATTATATCGGAAGATATTAGTAGCTACTGCGGAATTTTTAATAAAAGTCTACACAATAATTTGTTCTAAGTATACCTGCTATAGATGTAATTTGGATTTTAGTTGTTTGAAAAATACTACAATCCAATTTTATTAATTTAAATAGGTCGTAATAAAAGAATTTAAAATTTGATTTAGCATTTAATTTTTTTTGACTATGATTGTGATTACATCGAAAGTATAAATAAATTATAAATTGAGTATGCATATATCGATCATTATAAAACTATGTAAAAAATGAATATCGCTTGCTGTTACTGTCAAAGTAAATATTTTTTGCGGTTTCTTTATGTTTTGTCAACTTTATTCATTTTGCTAGGATAGATTTTGTTATTGGATTGATGAATATATGGTCATAATTTCTCCTTTCTGACCTTCCGCCACGTGTTTCAATGTTGATTTAGATTTGAGTTCAAATCCCAGACGGCTGCGTTTCTTCATTATTTGTCAGATTCATCAATATATATATATATATATATATATCTATTTCCATGCTCTTTCTATACAAACTTTGATTGAATTGCGCTCTATCTAAACGTTAATATTAAGAGCTAAAACTTTTCGAGAATTGTTTTTTATCTATTTGAAACCATTTGAGCCCCTGGGAGCAAGGAAATTCGAAAATGACCATTTTAAGGACCATCCTAATATATATATATATATATATATATATATATATATTATGCTTGAATATTATTATTATGAAACTTTAATTCACGTGTCATATCTAAACATAAATTCGCATTGTGTTATTTCATAACGCCAACTATCTCATATATTTTCATACTGAGATACTTTCTAAAGTGTATCAAACTTTTCTCATTTTGAATTAATAACCACTCTCTGAGAATATGCCGTTTCGTTGAAAACGAAAACTTAAAACTTAAATAGTTATATGAAAAAGCTTTTATGTAGATATTTTTTCAATGGAAACTTACATTAAATAAAATTCTTTAAATTCAACCGGAAAAACTCGAACTTTCTCAATTTCTTTTCGTTGTGCTCTATGCTAACTATTTATTATGAAAAATTGTATTATTTATGGAATGTAAATTATTGTTGTAATATTATCATATAAACTTTTTGTTCTTGCGGCTAAAACATGTATTAATTTTTTTATTATGGAAATGATTACATCAGAAAATTTATTTCGTGTGTTCTGAAATTGAAAAAAATGAAGCGTTAGTTGTTTTGCAAGGAGACCAATGAAATTGCCTTTTTCCAAATATTGATATTTTTTTGAAATATACCTTAAAGTTATTATACACATACATAAACATACACACATACGCACATATATATATATATATATATATATATATATATATAAATATATATATATATATATATATATATATATATATATATATACTGTTTTATATAATTATATTACTATCAAGATCCACTCTATGCATTCTGCTTTTTCATTTTTGCCTTGAAATGAAATTTAATTTATAATTGTATTTGCACCGAATATTTCGATTTAATTTTTTATCGTTTGGAATTTGCACATGACATTGTTACGAATGAAAAATGCATTTGCCCATTTTTATTATCAATGCAGATGCTGTTGCTGCATCTGCAAATAAGAGTAAATTCCAATTAAATAGTGATTAATATATGCATATCAATTTTAATATAATTTTCCGATGCATGTGTAGAATTTGGAATCATAATAGAGTTCTAAACAATATACATGCAAATTAGAAATCTTGGTCGAGTTTTCCATCGACCAATCGGCGAGATATTACGTCAATGGCAGATAATTATAATTTTTTTCTGAAAATGTAAATCTTGAATAAAATATTAAACTTTCCATTCAATTATTATCAGATATACATAGTTTAATTTTTATCAAATATTAAACATAAATAAATGCACCGTCATTAAACACCCAAACTATACAAGGTATGTAATTTAAAAAGCTCATTTTAAATATATGCTTTATATATATGGTGGGGCGCAAAGGTCCAATTTGATTTTAAGTATTTATACTGTCTAAACCAAATAAACTACATATCATATCATAATACATAAATATCATAATACATAAAGCATATCAAACAATCAACTATCGAACCATGTTCAAAAAAAATTCCAGATAATTCCTAATTATAGTGTTTTTTACCTTTTCTAAAATTTGTCACCTGTCTCTTTTTACTCCATAGGCGGGGTAAAATGAGACAGCCATGGAGCAAACAGTTCCAGAATCTATGCTCTAATAACTTCACTTTTGGTATAATATATATATATATATATATATATATATATATATATATATATATAACTACATTATTCAACATTGTATATAACCTTGCTCCAGTATTTCGTCAGAAATATTTATCAGCATAATTGGAATAACTGTTAATTTAATACAATCTCTTGTAAAATTGCTTTCATAACTTGATTTATTTTTTTATTTACTATTTTTTCATTGTTTGTAAAAATGTTAGGGTAGAGGTTGTTTTTTCCCCACCAACATGCAAGCTTTTATAAAGGTTATATAAAAAAAACGGTTGAATCTAGTTTAAAAATAACAATATATCTTACATAACGAATAAATAACGAATAGTTAAAAATTATGTTAAAGTCTCATAAACAAAAGAAAGATGTTCAAAATCATAAAACTAACAACGAAAAAAAAAATGTTACGGATTTTTAAATATTGCTATCTCCTTACATCTCTCGCCCTCTTCTTTCAAATATTGTTATTAACAATTTTTTAACATTACTTGTTTGTTGATCTTCAAGCCTCGCTCTACCCTGAATCAATTAGTCGATTTTCTATATTTACTTGTCTTGCTCCCAAATTATTGTGATTTCCAAATTGACAAAATTCGAAACAATATATGTGACAACTGAATGGAAATATATGCATGTGCGCTTTATATCGAAAATAATTGTTTCGTGTATCGACTAATAGTGTTTTGCCAACTAATGGTAGAACTAAATTCGCTAAATTGAATCACTTGAATTATATCGCGTGATTCGAATTGA